AAACAGGATAAATTTACAGCTACTTTCGCTTAATTCAATGAGAAGAAGGAGGTGCACTAATGGTGTTTGGACAGAATATCCTGTCTGCTTCTTGTACTATGGATAACTACTAAGAAGATAACAATGTACAGTGTATTGACTATCAAAACTGCCCTATTAATCAGCTGTGAAACTGTCTCATTCATATTTATTTCTCAATAAAAAATAAAAATAAAAATAAAAACAATGACTTGAGCAAAGCAACATGCACAAGTGTATACTCAATGAATATCACGTGCTTGGTGCACATACATATAATACCTATTATGTGTTCCATGTTGCCCTGGCATGTGTGAGGCCACATCACTTATTTTGAACAGCGCGTTGCCTCGGTGTTTAGCAAATATTCAAGAAACATCAAGGACTTAAAAACAGCTAACATAAAAATAAAGGACAGAAAATAAGCAATGTCAAAAAAAATAAATAAATACAATTGAAAGGGACCGCATGATGCACTGAGCCATTTGACAGCTAGGTCATGATCCAATAACATGTGGCCATCAGTTCAACATACTGTTAATAATTACATTTTCAAAGTTCTCACTTGATAAAAGACAACATTAGATTCTCTGAGAAGGTTTTCTCCTCGTTCCTCACATTCTTACTCCTCGTTTCTTGGCAGTGACACTGACCACAGAAAGATCTTTCCAGATGCACGCCAGGCAGCCACAGCGGCCGAGGTCCAGGAAACACCCTTTGATCATTTTGGATAGACAAATGCTCTGCGGCTGCCAGGGCGGCTACAGATCAGCTAGAGAAAAATAATGCGCCAAGTTGAATTACTTTCAACTTACCTCCATCATCCTCTTCCAGAAAGCATATTTGAAAAGAAACAAGGTATGGTATTAAAAATGACTGGCTCTGGCATTTTGCAAGCTACATCAAATAATGAAAGAAAAAGTCTCAAACCCAGCTGTCATCTTCCAACTAAAATTCAGATCACTATTTTCAATCATCTCCTCATTAAGCATTCTTCCAGCATATATGACCAGTAATATATTATGTTTCATAACTTTTAAAAGTGCCCTAAATTTCAGCATGTGTTATATCATTTAGGAAAGTTGAGGAAGACACTGTACGGAAGAAAAAAATATCAAAATACCATCATAATCACAGCAAAATTGTTTACAGGATATGAACAACTGTTAAAAAAAAAAAAAAAAGGGTTCCCAGTGAAACTGGTCAATTCTACTACATCTATACCTATGAACAACTTGCTAAATTTTAACAAAAATAGTGTATAAAGAGATGGATACATTAATCGTATGCTTTTTCTTTTAAAACTAAAAATACTTTTACTCATTTGCTTTATTTTCAGGTACTATTAGGTTGGAACTCCCTCATCTTTGAAGATCTTCGAGGAACTCTCTGAGCTCTTGATGAACCACTCTCTGTGAGTATTATTTTAATAAACAGAGTCCCACACGGAACAAATGTCCTGTCTCCTAGCTCTCATTTCTGTTAATTTCAGGAAGTAGAGCTCATCTAGTAAATACTAAGCAGTGCTTCAAAAGCACTAGACATTTAAAAAGAGACACACCGGGCTGAGGTTAGGCCTCCCCAGGGCACTGGTGGGAAACAGGAATGAACATATTCCCCTCCCCCAATACTGGGAGAGAAGAAAGAAGATGGTCTGGGCTATGCAGACCTTTGACATGACAGGTCACTGTTGGTTTTAAAGGGAATTTATGAGAAAGATAATGACAATATAATTATAATAACAATAGCAAACATACTAAGAAAGGCACTGCATACTACATTTAATACTTTTCCTGAACCCATAAAATCCTCAATTAGCCCTCTAATGCTATTCTTGTCACTACTGTATGGATGACTAGAGTACAGTGTTTTGAAAATTTCCTAACATCATAAAGCTAATCAGGGGGCTGGTGAGATAGCTCAGCGGACTAAGCAACTGCTTAGGCAAGCACAGGGACAGGGTTCAATCCCCAGTACCGCAAGCCATGCTGGTCCCGCCCCTGGGCACACTTAGCCAGTGACAGAGTCCAGACATGGTGGCACACACCTGTAATCAGCACTGCGGCTGAAAACAGGAGGATTACTAGGAGTCTGAGCTGCGCAGTGAGACACTGTACCAAATGCATTTTAAAACAAAAAAGCTGATCAGTGCAGAGCCTACTCTCAATGCTGTTACGTGATTCTCTTTTACTACAAGCCCCAAAGAAGTGTCTAGTGACCATCTTTGTTTCACTAAGCCAATGAGGGTTTGGTAGAGAGCCAAACTTCTTCACTCTGCACCCACACTACCATTTATGGAAATCCACTGCGATGAAATCTGTGCCCAACAGGGCTGCATTTCTGTGGACTTCACCCTTACATCAGAAGTCTGTGTTTATCAGATCAGAACACCAAAAGGAAATTAAGACTGTACGGTGTCCCAATGAATGAAAAGCAAAGGATGAAGCCAACAAACTCCATAAGTCATTGTTACACCAAAATGATCCTCAATTCTGGATAGCAATAAGAAATGTTTCCCTACAATCAGGCTTAGATATCATGATTCTACTGAGCTCCTCCAAATACAGCTGATGCTAATCTCATGTAATCTTCCTACCCAACAGCAATACTACTTTAAGACGATAGAGAGAAAAAACAAACAGAAAAGTTTTTAAGAAAAGAAAATGGTATCTGAATTGTATATTTTTTAAAGCTATTTAAGCCTGAGATCAGTTAATAAAAGTGGTATCTTGCTGTCCCAGTTACCTCTGCTGGTAAAGACAATGATTAAGAAAAGCCAAAGAAAGCAGTTAAATGAGGGCACTCAGAGCAAAGGGGCAAGGGCAGAGAAGGCTTTCTAGGGCCATCTTAGCTCAAATGAGGTGGAGCTTCAGCCTTCAGTAATGGCCCCAGCTGGATATCTGAAAGGAGGGCCACTCAGACTTCAGTGCACACAGCAATGACTGCAGAACCCCAGTGTCCTGTTCCCAACACCATAACTCAGCAGCCTCAAAAGCAAGGCTGGATACGCTCCCACTTCCCAAGACTCCCGCGAGGGCCACGTGCTCACACCGTGTTGCACACTCACAGCCGACTGCCGCCCAGAGTCCTACCTGTCTCAGCATCCCTGGGTCTGCATTCTTCAACAGGAGATCTTGACGGTGGCCATGTGGATGGAACTCGCCTGGGAAAATGATCTTCAGCGTAATCCAGCGTGTGTGTGGGTTGGCTAACCGCGGCCCAGGTGTAAAGCTGATCTTGCTAAACATAAAATTAAAAATACATATATATGTGGTCAATTTAATTATAAGGAAAAAAGACTAATCAATTGCAAAAATCACTTCTGTGCAGAATCTGAATTACTGTCTGACAGCTGTGGCCATTCCCACCTATGACTGACCCATCAGAGTAGAGATGGCGTGTCCATTTCCATGGGAATAAATCTTAGTTGGATAACCTGCTTTATACGACGCTAGCAGCATGACCCCATTCCACTGTCAATGAGCTCCATAGATACAGATTTAAGTGGTGGAATACGGCAGCTGTATCCCAGAAATTCCAGGAAGTACAGTCTCCCACCCCACAGAAAATGTCTGCATGAATGGGAAAAAAAAAAAAAAAAAGAGTATAAAATTTGTCTCAAGTACACATTGTTTGATTTCTTCATGGACATTTTAAAGTTGACCTTTAGACTGCATTAAGTAAAACCTAGCTCAGGCCAGGAGAGGGCTCTACCTCTTGTTACACTGACTTACACAGAACTGCTTTGGGCAAACTACACTTGACCATGACTTCTGAGTCTGCGCAGTCCACTAAAGGAGAAGAACGCTAATGCGCCCACCTGCTTACATATCATCTGTAGGAGGGCTATCACGATACACTCATCTCTGGTGTTAGAATTTCACACTTCTGCCTAAAGAATTCAAATGGATGGATAACATTTGGGGTGTGTGTGTGTCTTAAGGACAACATAAATTGTGCTGATCAGAGTTGCTTTTCACATATTGACAATCAGAAAACTTGAACTAAGGATATGACCTACCTGTCACATTTTGGGGTTCCAGAATATATGACTTTCCTCTTTTTCTTCTTTAGCTTTTTTCTCTGACAGCATATTTTTGTTTTTATTGTATCTGTTCTTACTAATCTTTGGATTATGTGAGTAAAGACATCGCAATTAGGGGAATTACATAAAGTCCGTTTATTGATTGTAACTTATTCAAATCATTTATAAGATGAAAGGCCGAATAAAACGTAAATTTACTGACAGTAGACTGACTGAATTGATCTCACAAGACTTTGGTTTACATTTATCATTTAATTATTTAAAGAATTAAGACAACTCTACAAAATTGTTTTGTGGTGACAGAGATAAAATAAGAACAGGGGCCGGGGAGATGGCTCAGTAGAATAAGCAGTTCGCTGGCAAGCGCAAGGGCCTGAGTTCAATCCCCAGTTCCGCAAAAAAAAAAAGAACAGCAGTAACTAATCAGAAGCACAGCAACAGAACCTGAATACATGTTATTATCTGGTGATTAAATGATTTATTTACCTCTAATCATGGTTCACATGCCTTTTTTTTTTTTTTTTTTTTTTTTTTTTTTTTCAGAACCGGGGATTGAACTCAGGCCCATGCTTTTGATAATGCCATCTATATCTTTTTTCAAATAAGTGCATCATCCTCACACTTTCATATCTCTG